AGCCAGAAGTTGCAGGGTGCCAAATCTAGGTTTTAGAGCGGGGCTGAGTCACCTGGGTGGTTTGATGTTTTGACAAAAAACTCTGTACAAGACGTGATCTGTGAGCAGTCACGTTGTCATGATGAAGCTGCCAATCACCAGTTGGCCATAGCTGCGGCCTTCTGAATCATCTGAATAGGCTCTGCAGAGGAATGTTCAAGCTTAACATAAAATTTGATGCAGATTTGTGGCTCTGCTCACTCATTTTGAATGTGACGGCCACACAGTACACATGCTCACTCAATGGCATCTACCACCCCCGCAGACCAGCACAGGGAAGTCGTCATTGTTCGTGCATGTGCATTCCAGTCCACTCTCCTTGGCTGCCAGGTTACATTGATGCTGCGCAAAATGTTCTCATTATAGCAACAATGGCTGGATTTTTTCTGGACAGACAGCATGTGTATTGTGAAATGATCACTACAATCTAGTTAATATTCATCACCATACACAGTTGTAAATTTTTTTTTCTTTTAATGAGAATTTTAAAGATCTCTCTTAGCAACTCTCAAACATACAATGTAGCATTATTAATGCTAGACTCCATGCTGTACATTACATCCCCAGGACTTACTTACATTATTTAAGCCTTTTTAAAGTTTTTTTAAAAATCTGATGTCCTTGAATTATACTGTGATATCTATTTTGTGATTGGAATTTGTTAGACTTCCGAATCTATAGATTGATATCTTTTTATTAGTTCTGAAAATTCCTTAGCCATTAATTCTTCAGATACTACTTCTGTACCATTTTTTGGTCTCTTTTATGAAACTCTGATTAGATCATGTTACTCCTTCTCTACCCTCTGTATCTCTCAAACTGTCTTTCATATTTTTCATGTGTTTGCCTGCCTGCAATTCTGGGATAGTTATTCAAATCCTGATTCCAGTTCACTACTTCTTTCTTTAGCTGTGTCTTATATGTTGTTGATGCCTTTCATTGAGTTGTTTTCATTTTCATTGCTAGACATTTAGGGTTTTTTTTTTTCCAAATTTCTCAATTTTTAAAATCTTCTAAATTTTTATTATTTTTTAGAGAGAAGGGAGAGAGGGAGAGAAACATTGATGTATGAGAGATATAGCGAACTGTTGCCCCGCACATGCCCCCAACCAGGAGCTTGCTCTGAAAACCAGGCCTGTGCCCTGACCAGGAATCAAACTGGCAACCTTCAGTTTTCAGGCTGGTGTCCAATCCGCTGAGCCACACCAGCCACAGCCAAATTTGTCAATTTTAAAACTGTGACCCCTAACTCATATTTTCAGTTTCTCCTTTTTATGTCTTTAAATAGTTCTTTTTAAAAAAAATTTATATATATATGTATGTGTACACACACACACACACACACACACACACACACACAATCTTTTATGTCTGCTATTCCCAATGACTAAAATCTTTACATGTGTGATTTTAGTGCCTGTTACATAGGTCCTCAAATAACGCTTCGTCTAGCGTCATTTGGTTATAACATTGATGCGCTGCCACAGGAACTTAATTCTGTTTATCAGTTAGCCTGTGGTAAAATTGGTTTCATCGTATGTCCTTTCTCTTAAGAGTTGCAGAACCTGTTGACATAGAGGACTGACTGTACTTCTGCTGGCTCTATTTCATGATGATTTATTTCTCTCTGTGTTCTTTAATTAAATGATTTCTTAGTTCAGATCAGTGGGAATTTTTGAGGCCCAGATTGATTGATTTCTCTAAACTGATTTATATTTCCCTCTGCCAAATGCATTGGATAGCAGCTGCCTGGGCCCACTCTAATTTATATCCTGGGAATAAGGTTCTTTTAAGATTATCTGCAAGTATGATTTCTGACTTAACAGTTATGATTTTCCTAGAATTTTTTTAATTCCCTGCTAATTAGTTCTGATGTTTGAGATTAGAAATTATTCTTTCAGTGATTTAGAACAGGGGCTGGCAGATTACATCGCACTTCCTAATCTGGCTTGTTGGATTAGAACCCACCCCTGCTCATTTATGTGCTGTCTGTCGGTGTTTTCCTGCTACAGTGGCAGAGCTGAGTCGTTGAAAAGGCTGACATTTATTATTTGGCCCCTTACCAAAAAAGTTTGCTGGCCCTGGCCTCAGAGAAATGGGCCTGGGCTTTTTTCTGGGTCATCACTGCACTAAAGATGTAGTACTTTGGGGTCATCTATTAATCTGCTCATTTGGCTTTTGTCTCCTGTCCTCAGTCACCCAAAGACATAAACACCGCAGCTCAGGTCCCTACAGTTAGGTGAATGTCTTCGCGGAGAGAGCCTGCCTCACTGCTGCTTATCTCTGTGGGTTCCTGGTTTCACTTCATTTTTTGCCTCTGATCATACTTTGTTTTCTTGCCATCACATTGATTTGTTTATATGTTCCCATCATTGTTAGTTATTCTCAGTGGGAGGTTATTCAAAACATTGTTCTGTCCTCCAGGAAACAGATGTATGTTCTTGTTATCCATGCTTTCGGTGTCTTTTGATCATTTTGGCCTTCTGTGACCTGTGCTTCTTACTGTAAGCTCTTTTCTCCTGTGAAGCAGAATTTCATTCTTGCATTATTGTTTGCTAATCACAGCATTTAATATTTCTCAGTCATTCTTGGAAGTGGCTTCCAAATTAAGAAGATAACTAGACAGAAATTGTTAAACTTTTCTGCAGCATATTTGTTTTAACTTATGTAAGAAACATCTCAATGATGCATTTACAATGTGTTGAACTGTTGGCAAATGGGAATCCTCATCTGAACAGATGCTGTTTTATTTCTTGGCCAGTGGAGACTGAATGAAAATTGAGAAGTGCCATGGGATTTCTCTTTATTCCTAGTATTCTCAAAAAGGAGATTTTAAAATGTGATCCATTAAACAGCCTTCTTTGAGGCTGAGCAGTTCCAAATGTATAAACTGCCCGACATACAAATGCCCCTGTAAATGCCTCCAAGCTGTCTGTTTTAGGAACCACCCTCAAGCTTCCTCACCCAAATACTTTCTGTTAGGTCTTCCAGTACCCTTCCCTTCTTTCCTGACAGCAAAGGTTTTACTTCTTCCTGGCCCTCTCAGCTCCTGGCACTGTCTCCTCATATTACTCCAGGCAAGTCCTGGCCGTGGGTTACAGTGGGAGAGAGTAGGAAAGGGTCATACCTGCTCTAGGTCCCTCTCCAATACTTGCACATGAAAGCCCTGCCTAAGCGCCATGAGCCTGGGTGTGCCTCGGAGATACAGGGGAGTTTTCAGACCCTAATTTCCCGTAGCAGGTAACCGCTGTCATTACCTATCAGAGCCTGTCTGGATAGATGGGGGAAAGGGCATGAGTCTAGATTAAAATGGACTGGATTATTGAATCTTGGGGCTACCCTTTGCCTCTCACATTGCTTGGAGCCATCTCACTCCAAGTCTGTTTCCTCATCTGTTCAGTGGGATTTGTGCTCGCTGCCTTGTAAAGCTGCTGTATGATAGTAAATATCGGATAGGAAAGTGGGGTAGCATAGTGACATGCAGTAGCTGAACAGTTTCCCTTCCCCAAAAGGATCTAAGTTATAAAAGAGAAAAATAGGGCTTCTTATTTTCCCTTATTTTCGAAAGCAGTGAAAACTTTAGAAAACCAAAATTACTTCAAATGGAGTAAAAAGGATAGAAGGAGAAACTAGGGGAAAGGGAAAAGTGCATGAGAAAACATGGAAACAGTGGGAAGGAAAGGTATCATGGCCAGTCCTCAGCTCTTTCTGTCTTTATAGTTAGTAGTTACTCTGTATAATTGTCATTTTTGAACGTCTCCTAGTACTTGTAGATTTGGAAACTGGCCATGACCTTGACCACCGTTTATATTCATCTGGTGAAATGTTCTTTTTAAAATAGTTATTTTATTTTGAGTTTTTATTAGAGTCATTCATCTCAGAGCTACTTTTGATAAACCTCTCTAGAAATATTCTGTTGAAGCTTAGATTTTAAAATTTTTTATCTGTTTAGGAAGGTGAACCTTCTGGAAAGAGAAAAGCAGAAGATGATGATAAAGCAAATAAAAAGCATAAGAAGTATGTGATCAGTGATGAAGAGGAAGAAGATGATGATTGAAGTACAAAATGTGAAAACATTTTATATATTTTATTGTACAGTTTGTTTTATAAATATGATGTAAACATGAGTTATTTTGATTGAAATGAATTGATTTGCTTCTCTGTAATTTTAATTGTAATAAAAAAAGTTTTTTTTAAACAAGTCTGTTCGAGGAATCAGTTTTTCCCAAGACAAGTTGGTTTTGTTAATGACGAGTGTTAGGTTTTAGTGAATTCCTGCTGTGTGGCTGTACCCCCTCCATCCCCCCAAGGAGCCTCCTGGGCAGGGCCAGCGGAGGCCAGTGAGGCGTTCTTCTGGGGTACAGAGTGTGAAGGGGCACAAAAAAGTCCGTAATTGTATGAGTTTGCTAGGGCTGCTGTGACAAAGCACCACAACGTGGGGTGTTTGAACCCGCTGAAAAGCATTCTCTCGCCTTCCTGGAGCCTAGAAGTCCCAAATTGCGCTGTGGGCAGGGCCACGCTTTCTCTGAAGGCTCCAGGGAAGACTCCTTCCTCGCCTTGCCCGGCTTGTGGGGATTCCAGTGTCCTTGGTTTGTGGCAGCATAACTGCCATCTCTGCCTCTGTCTTCACGTGACTTATTTCCTGTCTGGCTGCTCTGTGTTTGCCTGTATCTCCTTCCCCTGGATGGACGCCAGTCAGTGGGTTTAGGGCCAACCCTAATCCAGTGCGACCTCACCTTAGCTATTAACATCTCTAAGACCCTATTGTCAAATAAAATCACATTCTAAGGTTTTGGGTGGACATGAATTTTGGGGGATCCCAACTGCAGACACCAAGATAAATAATGTAATGCAACATTTAAAAAATCAGTGTTAATCCATGATGAACAAAATGTCAACATTTTACATAAAGACAAGATCTGCTCGCTCTTTGCCATCGTGGTGTGTTGTTGACTCTTGCTATGTCTTCTCATGAGACTTTCAGGATAGAGCAGTTCCTAGCCAAGAAACAGAAGCAGAATTGGCCCATTCCCCAGCGGGTTCAGATGAAAACTGCTAATAAAATCAGGTACAGCAACAAGAAGAGACATAGGAGAAAAACGAAGCTGGGTCTGTAAGGAATCACACATGAAATGGCTTACATACCTATGCAGTACTGGGTTGCTTGCATCTTAACCATATCACTGAAAAATTGCTACTATCTAGACAGTTGAGTGTTTTATTGGAAAATGATTGGAAGAATTTTTTTTTTTGCTAATGCATTTCTGCACTTCTAGGCTGGTTCAGTAATAAATATCGCGAAACCTTTAAAAAATGGGATGTGACGTGGCTGGGATTAGGGTAAGACAAATGAGACTCGAACAAGTACAGAGCTGGTTGGATTCTCTCTTTAAAATTCTGATATTTTGTTCATTTTTTTTTTTTGGCATGGAGTTTAAAAATATTCTGCAATATTATTTATCTTGATTACCCAGATTTTAGGACCCCTTACATTTTTCACCCAAGGTGAGTGCATCCTGGTCCTGGCCCCGCCTTCTCACAACATGGTGGCTGAGTTCCAAAGGTGAGTTCCACAAAGGAGTGAGCCAGGCGAAAGTGATGTTACCTTTTCTTGGTTTTTCCTTCTATGATTAGCATCAGAAGTCACATACAAATCCGCTATACATTCTGTTCATTAGACATGAGTCAATAATGCGAGTCCATTTTCAAAGGGTGGGAAGCGTGACACTTCTTGATGGTAGGAATGGCAAAGAATTTGCAGGTGTGTCTTAAATCTACCCCCTCACACTTACATGTCTTTTCTGTAGTGTGCTTCTACGTAACACCATCCTTCCCTTACAAGTGGACTCTACCTCACTTCTTTCTTAGGGCTCCTAGTACAATCTGGCTGTGGGAAGCCTATCTCGTTATAAAGAAAAGTGGCATCAAGAAGGTTCTGAATCACTTTCCTAACTCAGAAAACTCTGTCCCTTTGCTGTTTTTTGGCTTACCACGTTGCAACTCCTCTGCCTGGCTTTCAAGAGCCTTTGTTCTAACTCTCCAAGGCAATATAGTTTTACGTTTTTAAGGAAAAAAATAAATTTTTTAATACTGTTTAATTACATAATGATTTTTGTAATTTTTAAAATTGATTGATTTTAGAATAGGGGGGAGAGAGAGAATGAGAAACATCAATTTGTTGTTATTTATGCATTCATTAGTTGATTCTTGTATGTGCCTGACCGGGGATCGAACCTGTAACCTTGGTGTATGAGGATGACACTCTAACCAACTGAACTACCCAGCTAGGGCCAATTATAATTTTGTTAACAGGAAAACACTTGTACCTACATAATAGCCTATTACGGTAGTGATTAATAAAATTACAGTTTCTGTTTCAAGACTTGTCTTTTATAAATTTGTCAATGATTTTGTGACAATTGAATTTTTAAATGTATATTCATTGTCACCATAAGATTTGTCAATCATTTTTAACTTACAGTTTATCAAAGAACACTGTTAATTTCAAGAAATTCTCATAAATCATTAGATATTCACTATTAGGAAAAGTCTTACCCATAAGGATACATAGACAGTGATCCATAAAATCTCATTTCACAATAAATTCCAGAAATTTCAGCTGTCTCCTTCCCTCAGATTAATTTTAGCAGTTTTCAAATGTCTCTGGTGGAAAAAAAATTAAACACAATTAAAAACTAATCACATACAGTGGCAGAATTGAAGTTAAGTCATGTTCTATTTCTTCATCTTTATCATTATTCTATTTACTGTTTAAACACAGAAATGCCTAGTCCTCCATGAGTTCCAAATATATAAACTGCACCAAAAATGAGCTTGAATTTTTCTGAACTGTTGTAAGCTGCTCTTTAAATAAATACACACGACTGAGACCTTGCATGTTGGGAGTTTAATTGTAGAAACAGAGTTCCCCAAAGTAACTTTGATATATATACAATTTTCATTTAAAGATCAATAATATGTGCTAATATGAATACTACACATATTATTAAAACAACATTCAACTGTAATTGCAGCAAATGTAAAAGTGGAGCAACAAAAGTTTTGTTTCAGGAAAGAACATTTTGTCATTGACATCATTTAGAATTGTTGGCTACCTTAACTGAACAGTTCCAAGGTAGACCTCTCCCACCTGTCTTGTTCTTGACACCCCACTGTTAGGAGACAGTTTTTATTTTGAGTGTTCTCATATTCTGATTGTTTTGGGAACTGAGGTACTGACTTTTTTCTAGACTGTCTTCTGAAGAAGCATAGTTTTCTTTTTCTTTCTTTCTTTTTTTTTTTTTTTAAATGGCTAGTAAGACACTTGGATGTCAGGTATTAAGCTCTTTTCTCTTATCTGCAAACCCACACTAATACACCAAACTTAGCAACGCTGGGGCCAATCATATTTCAGTGTCCCCAGAGGGCCCCTGTTAGGGGGCGCCACAGAAAGACTGGAAGCCTGGATAGCCAGGACAAGACTGCTCCTTCCTGTTTGTTTGTGGTACTCTCTGGGGGCTTCCTGTTGCCTTGCAGGGGCCAACACTTCTTCACCCCTGAAGAGGCAGCTCCTTCCCACAGCAGCTGGTCCAGGGGCAGAGTTGCCAGCGCCTGCAGGGCCAGCTCCATTGCCCTCGCCTGAGAGACAGCAATACAGCTGGCCACGCCCTCAGGTAGGAATTCAGTTTAGTAATTCCACCTCCTCCATCAGTCATCTTTAGGGGTGGAAGTTCTCTGAGTTTGCTACTTTTGTAGCAAAACCCCTTAGACTTCTTTATGCTTTGTAACTTAACAACGTTAAACCTAATGATAATCTTTTATATTACATCCTGTCTGTATAGACAACCAGTATGTTTTCTGTTGCCCAACTAGGAGCTGACTGAGTAGTCCAGGAAAGAAACCCTCACAGATGAGATCTGGGGATTGGTTTGGGTTTGGCCGCAGGTCTGAGCCCCCCACCAACAGGGACGGGGGTGCTGTGATCCATGGTGTGCAGTGGTGTCTCTTTGGATCAGGTCGCCCCCTTGGGGCTCAAGGGCTGCTGCTCCCCTTGTCGGCAGGCGTGGCTGCTCTGTGGAATGGATACTTCTAAGTGCTCAGAGCACTTACTGAAAGAAAATGACAAGCTTAGGTCTCTTAATTGTTCAGCTCAAGTCATGGTCAGAGAAGCAGTGAGCTGTCCTAACAGCCCTAAAAGAACCTTATGTTTACAATCAGTGGGCTCTGGTACCTGAAAAATCCAACAGCACTTAATCCTGTGGTTGCAGAATTATCACACCCATTGAATTCACAGCCTCTTCAAGTCTTTCATGTGAAAGGATATTTGCCTGAGAAAAACTAGGGATGGGGAAATCTGGACTCCGATGAAGCTGAAATACACTTCTGGTCCCTCTGAGCCTCCCTTGGCTGTGAGGAGCAGCTTGCCTCTCTGTAGTTTCTGAGGAAACTCATCTTGTCCTGTTTGGAAAAGCTGTAAAAGCATCACCTGGGTCAGTTTCCCTTCTCAAGACTCATTCAACTGAGTGCTGTCTGGACCACTTTTTACCAGTAGACCCATCGTTAGGATATCGTCACTGGCAAAAAAACACAAGCTGACTAGAAGAAATAGGCACCAAAAGAATTTTGATTATGCACCAAAAGAATTAACTACATGATTTTGCTAGTAAATACAGGCAGGGGAATATGTATGGAAGTGGACTGTGAGAATGTGAGTTGAAGGACAGACTATAACACTAGTTTGGGCCAAATTTACCGATCTGGTTGCACTTGTATATTCTGAATCTGATGTGTTGGCACGGATAGCTGGACATGGCTCTCTACCTGGGTGGTTCTCTACAACAAACTCAATGGTTACCTCCATTTAATGATTGTGAGATGGCAAAGCTTCCCTGGAATTACGTGGAGGGAATCCAAAGGCTGAGGGAGATAGGATTCTTGGGGTACACATCTCATGTGCGCTGCATACCACCCCTCACCTTCTCAAATTATATCCCTTGGAGGGCCAGCTCAAAACATGCATTTACTCATAGTTTCTGAGGGTCTGAGACAACTTAGTGGGTGGAGCTGCTGGATCAGGGTCTCTCAGGAGGCTGCAATCGACACATTAGGCCAGGCAGAGACTGCTGGCTTGCCTGGGGCTGTTCCCAGGATGGCTCACGAGGCTCTGCAGGAGGCTCAGTTTCTTACCACAGGCTATAGCGGTTTGAGTGCCTTTACATCGTGGGAGCTGGCTTTCTCGAGAGCAAGTGACCCAAGAGAGGAAGAGTGAGACAGAAAAGCCATAGTTCATAGACTAGCCTCAGAAGTGAGGTTGTACTGATCACGTAGACCAACCAGGATACAATGTTGGAGGGGACCCCACAGGGCAAGGCTACCAGAGGCAGGAATTGGGAACCATCTTGAAAGCTGTCTGCCACAGCGTTGCCTTCCACAAACGAAATTTTGTCTCCTTCCATCTCTATAGACACTTTCATCAGGCTTCTGAGTTTGAGGTTAGGTTTGTTGAATTTTGGTTTATGAATCTTGAGAATATGTTGAAGTGACAGACTAAGAACTATGTGGAAGATTTTTCAGAGAAATTAATGCTGTGCATTCCACCCCCCGCCCCGCCCCAACACTGAAGATTGTAGTGGAACCATGGATCTGTTTGGAGACATAGATGACATTTCTTCAGAGACTGATGATGACAACCAACTGCTCATCCCAGGACAGCCTCTTGTAAGTACAATCACTAATCTCAACTGGTCCCACTGTTCAAAGCTAAGAAGAAATTTCCAGAGGCTGATGGGTCTGACTCTCTCATGTGGGGAGGGCACATGGATAACTGAGTAGCAGTCTGAAAGATCTAATGAATGGATAACTTTCTTGGCTATGCTGAGCATTTCTGGATATTAATAAGCAAAGAAGAAACTGCTTAGAATGAGGTTGATATCAAACTTTAGGGTCTAGACTATGAGGACTCAAATTTAAAAACCTTTTATTTCCAAGTTATTCAAACCTGTGTTAAGAAGCGTGTGCTATTTGATATTCTTCTCTGATTTTAATAGTTACTTAGCCTTGAGGTGTTGCATAATTTCACACTTCTGTTTCACCTTATGCAAAGTAGAAATGTCAGCAA